AAAGAATCAACTTTGTGATTTACTGCTACAATTAATAATTGTCTCAGTAAATGCCCAAACCCTACAGAACTGGTGCCTTCAGAGAGCCACTATGATTACATATTTGGCGTCCCTGAACCGGTTTTCCCTTCATTATTTGGCGTCCCTGGGTCCGGCTTAATCTACATTATTTGGCGTCCCTGGGTCAGTTTAATCTACACTGTATTAAGTATCCAAATTATTTACTGATAAGTGATCAAAACGAAGTTTTCCCACTTGTCCACTTATGCATTAGGTATATATTTAACATCCTGAATATGCTGAATATCTACAATGATTTTTAAACATACTGGATTTCCAATTCTGCAATTACTTAATCTTGATTTCCTTTAATGTTTTTCTGTCTGGCATGTGTCATGCAAAGAGTAGAGGTATTTCTTTTTGAAAACATGATGGACTGTACACATTTATAATAAGAATAAGAATTACTAAGACAACATTCTTCCAGCTGCAAGCTTGGGGTATATGAATCCAGCGTGAACACTGAAGGACTGACCTTTGTCTGGGTGTTCTTTACGAATCCCCTCTGCTGTCTGGTAAGCATGGAAAGAGTTCGGAAAGTCAACATCAGGATCAGACTGATCCACCAGCTGATCCAAAGCATCCAGACTTTCCATGACTGTCATCTTTGTGTGATTGAAGCCAAACCACTCCACATGCTAGAAGAAGAATGGAACCTCTTGAGTGTTTTTCCCCTGTTCAACAAACCAAGGTATCTAGTATCCATAGCCCTTTTTAAAACCTTAATTTATCATCACACTTAGAGGTTAGCCACAATTTGTTGTTCAAATCAGTTTTAGTGTTTCCACAAGGTTATGGTAGCAGTAGCACATGTTCTGAAGTATTGCTGTGAAGAATATTCACCATACTTCTGCAAAAGGTGCACTATCTGGCTCTTTTCAAGCTTACAAATCTGGCTTACAAATTGGAGGCATAACAGTAAGTACTTTCCTTTGTATGACTTACCTTTTGTTTCACAAATTGAAGTGACTGATTGGTGTGCATCAGTTTGTAGGTGTTATAGACCCGCTGAACAAGGTCCCCACTCTGCAGTACCAAGACAGATGCATTGTTTAAACAATATAATCTATATGACATTTAAAATTAATGATGCATTCTGAATTGAAACAGTGTCGAATTCCTTAATGGGAAAGACCACTTATCTAACCAATTGCTAAGAACAACACTTTATTTTAAAGCAGAAATACTGTATAAAAAGTACCTTAAAATTCCTGAAGCCAACATTTTCTTCCTCATCCTTCTTCTGTGCCTGTTCTGGTCGGTATAACTCTGAGGGATCAGGTCCCTGTTACAATACAGATTAAAGTTCTGCTACAGTACAGTAGCTACAGTATCCATAGTACAAAGTGTATGCAAGTTTTTACACGTTCTGATTAACATGACAAAACATAATTGTGGAGTTCAATCTAATTCCCATAAAATAAAGAGGTTAACAAAAATATTAATACATGGCCAAAAACAAGCAGTTGAATGAATGAACCAACAAACAAATAACTATTTTTCTGTACATTTACTTGCAGCATAAAAACTTAACATGCAAGCATGTTATAAAACGGTTGCTTTCAGTGATCATGTTATATTTTTGACATTAAGCCTTGAAAACGACATTACTTTCTCTTAGTGTAATCATTATTTTATATAGGAACAAGTAATAGGTTTATTCCAAGCTGAAAAAAAGGGAAAAAAAGAAAACACAATGTTTCGGAAACGTTGTTTACAGGTTCAGTAGTTGTGCATCATATTTAAGTGATCAGACATATTCAGTAAAGTAAGGATGCGGCATTTGAATATTATCTACATGGGTGTTTCTGCATGATACTAAGTGACCGTTTTCATCTCCTTTAAAAAGACAGCTCTTAATCCTTTTAACAAGCAGAAATGAAAAAAAACAAAAGGAAAAAGGTCACACAGTCACACATTCCACCTTCTTATTCATATCCCTTAGTCTTGTCTTTGCTGAACAATAAAAAAGAGGTTCTTACGATATTGAGGACTCTCATTGTATTGCAGTCTCTTCCAAACCGTAGTCTTCCAAGCTGACAATAATAATAGAGCAGCTCTACACAAGGCTATATAATTGACACATTTAAAGGGTAATCCATCAGGGGCAGGTTTCACCTATTGCAGAGAAAGTGTAGTAATATTTTAACTTGCTTCTGTTAGATAACTGGGGCTGCTCTCACTGATTTGTCAGGGGTCGCTTGGTGCGACTCCAACAAAACTGCTTAGCACTTTTTTTACCTTTGGTAAAATAATAATTCTTTAACTAGCTTCAGAAATCCTACCTCAGTAGATCCACTATGACTCAGGATTTTATTTTCCAAATGGACAACAGTGAAAAGCTTAAAGTTCCTATGTTTTTTTCCATCATCAGTAATTTTGACAAAGGAAGTTTATCCAGCATAGTTTATTTTGTTGTTCCAATCCTTAAAGCCTCACCATTGACCCCTATGACTTTCTTGTAGTCATTTTATTAAAACTCTTGTTTAATCAGTAATTTCATTGAAATAGAAAGCTTTTTTTTCCAAGAAATACTTGAGCAAACCTAACGAGCAGCATAAAATGTTAATACAGTTCCCTGACAGAGTCCGCAGTAACATTAAACTGTACAGATGCCAACATACTGTAGCAACAAACATTTTTGCCAAATATAAAAAAATCAATCTTGAAAATCAAACGAACCTTTACATTTCAAAATCTTTCAACAATGCTTCAGAACTAAATCTGTAGATTATTTTGTGATCTTTTTTTGTGATCTTTGCCCTTTCTATTTAATTAAATTATGACAGATTTGAGTAAAGTCTTTTCTTGCCTCAGTGCTATGATGTTTACATGACAAGCAGAAGAAATAAATATTATTAAATATTGTGTATAAATATGACATTGTATCATGTATAACAAATATTATAGTGGGCATTCACCCAAGACTGTACATTTAGTGCACAGAGACTCCAGGGACTGGACGATCAAGATGCACAAGATGCACGAGTAATTTATAGAGATAAAGGCTCTGTCTCTTATGAAAGGAATTTTAGCTTCCGGTTCCTTTAGAAGGCTCTTCATGCCATCTTTTGCTATTCAAGAAAGTCTACAAAAAGATGGTGCCCATGCACAGGTTCTTTGTTGGAGTAGGAGTCGTGACTTTTGACACTGTGCATTTTCATCCAGGCACTTGTTTGTGCTATTAGTTTTTTTTTCTAATTCCCTACAGTATGTGTCTAGAGCTAAGGGAGTCTTCAGCCTTAGTTTGCTTAACATCCCCATTCTCTCTGAAACTATTTGTTTAATCTCAGTTTTACCATTTTTGCATGTTTTTACATCCCTGCAAGTCTCTCTTCTTTGTCCATACAAAGAAGTCAAACAGTAATGAAATAAAAGTAGCAAAAGAAAAAGAAATCAGTTTTCTAGTACCTACACCCATCAAGGGAATACCCTTTGAGGAGTATTTTACTCCACAAAACATATTTTGGGGAAACTGGGTATTTAGTGGCAGGACATTGAGATTTGGAAAACACATTGGAAACAGCAAAATGTATGAATACTCTAGTTGAAAATGGGAGCATCATAATAAAAGAGAATGAGTGGCTGAGTATGTCATTGAACAGCAAGTCTAACAATTTGGTGTTTATGAGGACTAATATTTCTTGTCTGTAGAATGTATATTAGCTTTTCTACATAGCTGTATTTCACAACATAGCCCCTTTTTGGTATTCTAATATTACAGTACATAAGTTAATGACCATCATGTTGATTTGAGAAATTTCAGATAGGTACAGTACTCCTTGTTTCAAGTCTCCTAAATGGGGAAAAGGAATTGAGCCCATCTTACCTGGGCACAAAACAGGCTATTTTGTGACGCAAAATTCGTAAATTATTAGCAGATTTGAGTTTGATTGTTTTTCAAGTCACTTTCTATTTCTTTAAGCTGTCATTTTTGGGGTCTTTTGTTGTGACCTGGGCTTGCAGGATCCACATTTTAGCCCATTCAGTGGCGATGTAGCCCTAATTGTGGGTTGTTGAAGTATTGTGATCTCTTGTTTTGTCAGATGTTTTGCTGGGGGGATTACACTCCTGTAAGGGACCATTGCGGGCCAATGTTGTTTGGCTGGGAACTCTTGTAGCCACATGTTTTGAAAGCTAATTCCATGCATTCGATGACTAAAACGATGCATCATTAACAGAACAGGCCTAAGGTGATATCAACATCCTAGTGTTACTGTTGGCTTCTACAGCATGCCTTGGTGGCTTGTTCCAGGCCCTCGGAAGTGAACTGCTTTTCTAAACATCTGCACTAGCCTCTACTTTGTTGTCATTAATTGTGTTGTTTGTACAGTTTTACATCCTATGATGTCTGGATGTCTCTTTATTTCTCCTGGTTGTTTTCTGGTTGTTTGCCATGACAACAGAACTATTGCAAATAAATTGTGGAAAGACATGCCTGTGATCATGAACAGACTTTGCAAACAATTGCCACACAAAACTGCAGCAAAATTAAAATAGCTTCAAAACATGAAAGAAGAAAAAACAAGATAATGAGTCATTGTATGGTTAGATTTTTTTTCCTTGAATCCAGTTTTGAGCTTTATGCAACACTAACGATTATGTCCTGAGCACTTCCTGGTAAAAAAGTTTTCTAGAAATGTTCTCAAAAGACAGCTTTGTATCACAGTAAACAGTGTTTTAATCACTACTTGGGGAATTTTGCAGAACACAACAAGTAAACATTCCAAAGTTACATAATGTTCGTTCGGCTTTGCCCTTAAAAACATTCCTGCTTTCACATTACCTTTTAAAAGCCTGGATTGACTGATCCAAGGCCAGCACTTGGCATGGGGCACTATTGGTGCCACTTCTCCTGTCAAAGCCAAACAATAGGTAGAGTCTGGGGAGGAGGAAGGAAATTAAATGCACAATAAGAGTATATTATTTTCCATGCTCCTGTGTAGTACTTGTGAAATGGATTAGTAGCTACTTTACCAAATGTTCTAAGATCAGTATCTAGTTTTGAAAACTGAATTGAAAATCCATTAAATTGTGCTTTTCATATCATGTACTCATCTAATGTCAAGTGCATCTCTCTTAGTGTTACAAAGGATGCAGCCTGAATTATTAGCATTATAAAACCAAAAATGAAGAATGTTTGAACCAAATCTGAATGACGTGCTGTTTTGAAATGGTCTTGTTTTTCAAGATAAAAAGCAAATATTAGACTTCAGACCTTTGACTCTGCGATGAAGTTATATGAAAAGCTTTTTACATGTTTTTGCCATGTCATGGAATATTTAAAGGTTGTGAAAACAGAAATCAGCTGTGCTCAAAGTAAATCAAAGGTTTTGTGTTGTTTTTTATAGGGGAATTAGTTATACACTTTTTGCAGATAAAGGCATTACTTTTCTACTTTCTAGAATTTTGATGTCAAGGACATGTTATCTGTGTTGATAACAAGGTAAAGTAGGGAATAATGTTCTATTTGTTTTGACTGCCTACTCCCCTGCCAGCTATTGTGTTTAGGATGAAGTCTCTGATTTTTTTACACTTTTGTTCCCTTTCCATCATGTAATCTCTTGAGAGATTCTCAATCGGAAAGACAGCAAACAAAGACCATTGTAGTTAGTCTCTTTCAGGTTATAAATTGGTATTTGAACCACCTACCAAGTTGCAGAAGTAATACTGACAGGGAACAAGTGTCAGTTCTCAAATAGTGTTTTCAAAATGTTTTATTAAATAATAAGTTGGGTAGTTAAGTTTTATTTTCTTGTGTTAAAATGGAAACACAAAGAAACAGTATGTACTGTATCTTGAATTTATATGTATCTTTAATTGAATTTATCTTTATATTTCTATATACATGGGACCATATATACTGTATATGCATACAGTACCTCTTCATATTTCATGCAACATATGATGACGTGCTTGATTTCTTTATTTTCTGTGGACAGCGACCAGATAAACTTCAGCTCTCATTTATTGTATACTTGCTTTACTTACTTTATCCCACAAGGTGCCACGAGGAGAAACAACTGTCTGTCGGCTGCCAGCCTGTAGGCCCTGTGAACGGGAATGTCATGTGTTTTCAGTATCTTCTATATATCTTTGATGCCTTCAATACAGGTTTTTCTTGGTCGACCTCTCGGCTTGTACCCTGACATCCTACTGTTGTCTGCTCTGTACGCCTGTTTTTTGGTGACCATGTGAGCAAGAGGACTAAACCACCTGATCTGCTATTTTTGTATATAGTGGTGGACTGGTATAGCTCCGAGCTGTCACGGTAGCTGGGTCAGACTCCCGTGAAATGCGTTGTTAAAGACCCAATACGTGACAGTATAATCTGGAAGTGATTGGAGAAGGACATCAGGGAAGACTCAGCAGGACCAGGGTGGGTAGACAGACAGGGGGTGATGACTGCAGTGATCCAGTGCTCGGGGGGCATGGCATAGGCAAACGAGTCCAAGGAAGTCAGTAGGGGTAATCAGGGTGATGTCCAAAATCCAAAAGGCTGGGGGGTTCATCCATGACGGAGACAGTTAAAAGCAGGGAACGGGGAAGTGGAACCAGGAACACGGAACATTAAAAGCATAACGGGACAAGGTGCTCCGAGCCCCAGACTCAGAGGTCAAGACGTCTGGGGAAAAGGCCTATACCCTCGGGCTACTCCTGAGCCTGGTGGTAGGTGGGCCTTCAGATGTCCGTGTTCCAAACCTGAGCCCGGAACTGCGGAGATGCTGGGCTTAAATAACAAAAAGGGGGACAAGACGCAGGTGAAGGTACTTAAACTAAACATAATAGAAAAGGGTAGGAGCACCCTCTAGAGGAGGGATGACGACCGTGACACCAACACTTCTCTAATTCTACCTCCCAGAGACCAGCCCCACGTCCTTGTTGTGAGAAATGGAAAGGGATTGCTGGGGGATTGCTGGGACTGGAAGATGTACTGTATGGTGTGGTGGATTTTAACCCTCATGACTGTTATGGTAGCCATGACGACCATCCCGGGTCAACCCGAAACATCCTTGTAACAGGGCACTGGTGAAGGTTCGACAGGCCTAGCAAGCCGGGAGCAGGTTATCTATTGCTCGAGTAAAAAGAAAAATAAACGTATGGTTAACAAAAAAATGGACTGGACATAGACAACGATAGCGATCAAGCACCTGGGACATATAAGGACTTATAAGATAAAGATCCTAAAATAATTGTATAGAAGTGGAAAATTTATAAGAGCACCTCAAGATTGGCCTTTTAATGAATTTTACTAAATAAATTAATTATTAATTCTTGTAAACTCAACTTACATAACACTTATTTACAACTAAAACATGGTTCTACCTTTCCCACAGAAATGTCTTAGGTTGTCTTTTCAGAATGTGACATTTTGCCCAATCAGGCCTTGCCGGATGGAATACTGTTTAACTGGCTAAAGCACTATAGCAGCTATGCTGATCTTTTCTGTTTTGAGATGATGAAAGAGACCTGCATTCATAAACAGCCAGCTACAAGGGCTTATTAAAGAACTTTATTTTATTATTTTGCACAACGCAGGTTTGTTTTGGTTTCCATCTTTGTTCGTGTAGTGGTAACATCATGGGACTCAGTCATCCTTTTAGATAGTTGCTGTTAATTATTCTTTTGGTATTTTTGCATTATTCAATACTTTTTTACTTGTGTTTATTAAGCTGCTTTTGTGTACTACCCCGCTTGTGTGTGTCCAGGGTTCCTCCCCTCTGTGTGTATGTGGCACACCCAGAGCTGGGGTGCCAAAATGGGATCTTTATATAGGCAGGTCTCAGGAATACAAACACAGCCATAAATGTAGATGTAGGGCCCTTTTATTTTAAAGTGCTGAAAAGCACAAAACGAAAACCACAAAAACAAAACCTAAATTCCCTTTGAGCTACTAGCTAGATTTCTTCCTAAAGAACTAAAGTCCCTCTCTGATAATAGCCAGGCAGCTAAGCAGCTTACCAGGTCCAAACAAGTTGCACTATGAGACTCTTAAAAACTCTTTCCCAACAAAAGCTCTCTCCATGACTCTTCCAAAACTCACATGTCCTTGAAATCCAACCTTCACTCCTTCTCTCGGCTCCTTTTCCCACTACTGCCCTGCACTGTAACCGATCTGTCACCAGCTGGCAGATGTTGAATCTCAGAAGCCAATTCCTTGTTTTTAAATCATCACCTGAACAATTGTTTTCTTCCATTTGATCAGGTGACTCAGGATGGCTGGTGTTTGCCCAGCTTTCTAATGTCTAGGTTCCAGCTCAGACAAGAACTGCCATTTCAGTAGGAGCAGGTGGGGAACTAGATGATCTTTGTCACCCTTCACAAAGGACACCGTGATACTGTCATGTGCACAACCAAAGGGCTGTCTCTGCCCAGTGCTGGTTATCTCGACAGCCTACCAAAACCACAGGAAAATTTCTAAGGAGCTCTTAAGGATAATGTCTATTCACAAATCTTGTCTTTTGCATGATCACACCTTCCTTCCTGTAGTAGACCACTTGTCCAGGTACAGTACATCAAAGTGGCAAGATTTTAAGTAATTTCTACTTAAGTATATAACTGCAAGCCATTGAGGTCCATAATTTGTCATTTCTCACAACAGACGACAGCTTGCAGCTGCTGTCTTTCCAGTCTTTGCCAACAAATTAAGCTTCACCCACATTGTGGGCGGTGAAAGACATCTGCAAACTAAAGACAAGATAGAATGTGTTGAAGCTACAGTCAAGGCTTTGTGTAACGAAGTTTTTCTCTCATTACTGGCATATTGTGCATCCAAAGACACTGCATGGGTTGCAATAGAGAAAATCTAGAGACCTGACATTCACTGAATAAGACCAGGCTCATATCTTATTCAAAACGTATAGTGTTCCAACAAAATCTCTCACTTCTCTATGCAGAGCTGCAACCTCTGAGTGAAAGAGAGAAGACAGAGCACGGCAGTGTTTTTAAGTGAATTAAAATGGAATAAGATAGATATGGAATCAGAAGAATCTGCTCAGAAAAAAATGTATCCCTAGAGTACGTACATCAAAAGCTAGAAAGCAAATACTCAATTGGTTTAATAACTCAATTAATTTTAAGCAGAAAAATACTTTATAAAAGGATTAGAAAATTCCAAGCACAAGTAAAGAAAATGTTGGTCAAAAAAGAATGAAAGAGACTAAAATGAATACCATTAGTAATCGTTTTTTTATCACTATTACAACATCAAAGAACAGGAAAGATTGAAGTGTCGTGGGGATAATAATGGTTTAAACATTGAAAGGAAACTAGTTTAGATATTAAATTAACATTTCACTGAGATGATTACCATGGAGACAATTGAAAACATGCTTCAGCTTCATCAAAGACAAAGTTCTATATTATATAGTACTAGATGTGTACATAGAGGAAACATGTTCAGATAAACAAACCTCCAGGCACTCATAGTATTCTATCTATTGTGCTGAAGGAAATGAGAGATTATTCAACAAAATGTTTCCAACAGTCACTGAAGTTAATACCCATTGTCCGAAAAATTGCTCCTGAAGTCCATTCATAAAATCTGTAACGAAACCAAACCATTGAATCTGAGTTCTATTACATGTAAGGTTATAGAATACTATAGTTAGAGGCAAACTACTTGATCATATGCATGGCAGCAGATCATTGGGACTTCTCCGAATGTCTTGTTTAACCTGTTTGAGTTCTTTGAACAAAAACAACAGTAATAAATGCAAGCAAAGTAAATAATAGAGTATACAGTATAGGTACACCATAGATTTGTGGAAGTTTTATATTAAAGGTCATTATCAAAGATTAATTCTTAATTTGCAGGTACAAAGCAATTAATGTTGTGCCAGTCCGGATCAAGAACTGGTTGATTGGATAGTAAATCCATAAAGCATTTGCACTAAATTTAGGGCTATACAATTAATTGTACAGGGACTTGTATTAGGACCAATGCTCTATTTAATTTATATCCATGATTTAGACTTTTCTATCATTAGTAAACTACAGTAGTCATATTCATAGATGATACCAACGCAGAATAATCAGCAGACTTTTTAGAAGCTCCAAAGGAAATCCATAAGGACAAAATTCAAGACTTGGCAAACACCTTACAGATAATATTTACTGTAGACAGCTGCAGAGTATTACACGCAGGTAGAAAACGATACAAAATTAAACTATAAATAAAACTGTAAAAGAATTGGGTGTCTATTGATGTTCACTTTATCTTTTACACAATATGGGAAAGTGATGTATGAATACAGTACAGGTATGTGTGAATATATACTGTAGTTAAAAGTAGGGTTTGAGTCAAATAGTATTAAGGTAAATGTTTTCAATGCACTTCTAGGACCATACTGAAATAAATGGTGGACAGAGAGACAATTAAGACTGCTCTGCCTTGAGCACATTCTTATACACCATCAAAACTAATCATAGCCTTCCCTATTCATAAGCAAACAAATCCAGGTTCTCCTTGGATCTTCTTTTTCCACAGTAACTGGGAACTAGAGACTAGAGCATATAAAGCCTTTCATTTGACACTGCTTGTTTCTCATTTCTATGTTCCCACATATCTTTCATTTATTGTTTAGCACCCTGTATACTTTGGGTTGAGTCACCTTCTGCTTTGTGGCTATAATTCCAATGATGTCATTTATGCAGCGGAAGCAGGCCTGAAAGTCATCAGTGCAATAAATAGTCAACAAATTGCATGCGGGAGACCAAACACAAAAACAGTACTAAAAAGTCCTCTCCATAGCGGACTTTTCTATGCTGCAGGTTCAGAAGGGACTCGTTTATGTCCTGTTTTAACATCCATCCATCCATTTTCTAAATGCTTCTTCCAATTTGGGGGGAGCAAGCAACCAATCCAAAGAGGATTTTGGACACAGACACACCAGGGCCAGTCTTCCCATAAGCCTGTAAATCTTTGGACTGTTGGAGGAAACTGTAGCACCCAGACCAAACCCACATGCACAGGGGAGAACACCTCAAGTCCAGCATCGGACCCAGGGCTCCAACACTGTGAGGCAGCAATGCTAACCACTGCACCTCTGTGCCGCCCTGTCTGGCTTATAAAAACTGTAGGTCCTTTTCCCCAGGCAAACTCATATTTTTTTGCCTGCTGACTAATGCAACATTGATCAAATTATAGACGGTGAATAAAAGTTGATCTAATGACTCAACAACCATTTCATGACAGCTTCACTATGAAGCAAGAACCTAAATGGGACTTTGGTGTTGGTTTGGGAAATAGTTCACATAAGATACCGGCTTCTATAATATGCCTTCATTTGTGACAGTGATGATATCATGTTACCAGATGGTAATGCTGCTGTTATGGATGTGGTCCATGGGTGGTGCTGTGTATTTTGTAATAAAGTCCTTTCATTTCCCTTACAGGGAGCCAGGACCTATCCCTATAAGGGATAGACTGAAGGCAGGATACTCTACTCCCTGAACAGGACACCTGTTCATTACAGGGCACACAAACCAGATACAAACCAGAGCCAATTTTCCCAGAATCCACATAACCTACCAGTATAGGGAGGAAACCCACACATAGAGAGGGAAAGCATACATACTGAGCACAGCTAGCACCCCCAGCTCTGGAACTGAACACACAGGGCCACAGCACTGCACGGCAGTAATGCCAATCACTGCACCACTGTGCTGCATTAACAACTGCTGTTGTTTTGTTTAAAATAATCATTCTTAAGTAAAAAATTAAATTGGCAAGAATTGTGATGCAGTAAATCACTGTTGAGTGTTTAAACTTTGAGGTGGTCAGGGCAGAGGATATGCAGGGGGACAGTTTTACACAACTATAACGATTGACTCAAAAGGTCAGGGAACCAGGAAAAGTAGTAGAAAATGTTTATGATGGGAAATTTACCATTCATTTTACGCAGTATCAAGGTGTTATATTAAATGTGGCCACTTGGAGGCAACCTATGCTTAAAAACATTATGGTGAGTATTGATGTGGTTTATTAAAACAGAGAATTATACGATTGGGAGTCTATTACAGGACAACTGTTAGAAAATCACCCAGTAAAACTGCTCTATTAATTTTTTAATGGATAGGAAACAAACACCAGGCTTAGTGAACATAATGAATTTCAAGTACTTTTCCATGCAACTATTTTTGTGATTGACAGGGTTAATTATAACATCTGAGTATTTTGTGGGCGGGTGAGGCAAAAATGCATGAGAAAGGGGCTGATCTGAACTTCCTGAAGCTGTTGTTTACCTTGTTTCAAATAGCCTGTCATTCATGATTATAAAAAATGTTAATGCTGTAATTAAAAGGGAAAGCTTACAGTAGTTCCACATTAAATAAATAGAAACATATTGTTGAGCGAGGTTACTGAAAGGCTCGAACACACTTGCGTGAGGTGAACAGAACAGTGATGCCCTTGACTATTTTCAAGGGGTCATGGCCCATAGAAATTAAGAAGCTAAGGACTACGTTAAGAGGACTGTGTTACTGCACGTCTACGGGGGAGTTTCATGGGCTTGTTGCCATCTGCCCTCATCTCCCATCTGAACAGCCAACAGCTTCCTGTTCCAGGCAAGTTGCTCCAGGCAAGGATATCTCCCCATTTATGGGGAATAAAGCAACAGCTACAAGTCTAAATGATGCAAAGAAAAAGTTCCATTCTGACCAACACTGAATGGTTTTTCTGGATAATTAAAGAAACAACACAGAAAAACCTTTCCTTAAATTTTGTTTATACTGTACTTTCTCACTGTTGTTATAATTTAAAGGGGAACTGCAAAGTTTTTTTATATATATTTGGGGTTAGAAAGAATTAGCATCAATGAATGTATTTAAAACCACAATGAAAGTAAAAGGTACACAGTAAGGTTGTAAAACCTCCAATTTACATCACACAAAAGACACAATTTCCAGGTATGCGCAGCATCATATTCTGTGGCTCAGAACAAGGCAACAAAACTTCCAGTGATGTGAAAAGGCCCTGTAAACAAGCAGGCTTGTGAATGTATCTCTTTTAACCCAGTAGAAATATTGCTCTCGACTTTGAGATGGTTTTGCTGACTAATCCTACTTACTGTAACTTGTAAACTGCATACAGATCACATTGGACCATTTCTATATTACTAGTTATGACAGTGACCAGTGAACAGTAAGGGTAGCTTCATGTTGCAATTCTCATGGATTCTAATTTGGAATTGGTAAAAGTTTCCAATACCGTCTGTTAATTGATTTTGTTACAGAGATTCAATAACCAGTCTGAGAGACTGGGACTGCATTCCCCCTCTAACTAAAAACCTTGAACTAAAAACATAGTAAAACCTTCCATATCTAACCCAGGGATTGTGACTGAACTTAGACACTGCAAAATAACTGTGAATGTACACTTGTCAAGCATTAAGTATAACAGAATTTTATTTGTTAAGCAAATTACAATAAGGTGATCTTACACATATACTGTATGAAAACCAAAGAAATACATAGTTATACAGTTGGAATAAAATTAAAATATAGTTGATTACAGTCCCAGCACTGTTAGCATCTAAACTGTCTGCAGCAGCAGCAAATAAGAGCCTACAGAATAATTTCACACACAGTGGATGATACAGAATGCAAGAAGACATCATGTTGAAGCAGTCCAAGGCTTTAGGCCATGAATCATCAGTCTTTCAGAAGTAGCATTGCAAGAGTTCACTTCTACTTACAGATTTGCATGCAATTGATACTTTTTTAATGTCAGGAAAAGTACTATTTTACATTTTAGCAGATTTATTTTAAAACAAATTAAGATGCAAATCTTACCATTAAGTGTGATCATTGCCCTTGCTTTCCCTTGTTGAGTTCTCCAAATCCAGGCTTGTAGTTTGATACTTTAATCAGCACACAAGCCACTGAGTGTTCAGTCATTAACCAGCTCTGGAAGGGACAAAGAACTGAATTTATACATTAAAATTTGTTCACAGATAGATTCTAAGAGCAGTGAAAATGCCAATTGTCCAACAGTAACACTTCACAGGCAAGGACAGAGAATCCATGATCTCAACTGGGAACCCCAAGTTACCAAACTCAAGCCATGTATCAAAGCAGAACTTCACCACTGTAGTCATCACATTCTTAAAATCAGAATTAAAAATCTTGGCAGAAATCTTTCCTTCATGACTAACACACCCAACAACTAACACAATGAACATTTACCATTGAGATTATCCTCAATAATCTTCACAAAATCCCTTTTGTTTTCTGACCACAGCAAGGGCATGATCTTTATGTTGAACAAAACCTTATTCATCTCTCCAAAAGGACTGAATTGAGTGAACATCTAACTTTTATCTCCCTAAGAAACTGCCATTTTGTCCAAAATGTTCGACCCTCCACTGAAAAGTGTAAGAATCATCAGTGGTACAGTATGTACAGTATTACCAGCTATTCTCTGAAAAAAGATGGATTGGTAGTAATTTAAGCACAGGTAAGTAAGTACAGTACAACTACTTTGTTTCATCAAACCTAGGTAATTTAAAGTAAACTTTAAAAAGTGTTTTTCATTTCATCACATACTGCCAATATCCAGAACCTGATGGAGAGGGGGGTAGAGTGGCCTTAGGAAAATTAAAAATGAATATATCTTGCTACAGAAATTATAATAAAAATAAAAATCAAACTAGTGAATCAAATGCTGCTTTAAGAATATTCTCTTTAATATTACAGTAAATAATGTTTGGTAGTCAAGAGTCAAGTTGTCAGGAACAGCTTGACATGGGAAGCAGAAGTGGCACAGTGGTCAGTGCCTTGCATTGCGGGGGTCCTGGGTTTAAATTCCTGGGGTGCTATCTGTGTGGAGTTTATATGGCATTCCATCAAGGGTGTTTCCATCAAGGGTGTATCCCACCTTGCCCCTGTTGCTTGCTGGGATAGGCACTGGCTCCACCGTGGTCAGAAAACAGTGGGTTAGAAAATGGAGGATGGATCCAGGATGTTAGTCAAAAACATTTACAAGTAAATAGTAATAAGTTAATAATTACAAGATAACAGTAATTTTGTTATAAAACAATATACTTGAGATGGAATTTCAGTGACGTATTCCTAACTGCTGTATAAATAATTGCAGAGGGTCATGAGATGATTGGTACATGACTTTGCTTTTCTTTTTAAGAACTGTTTTATGACTCCCTTCGCATTTTCTGTTTTCTTTCAGTTGTTTGCATGTCTGGCTGTCCTGGTGATGTTTTTCCTGAGCAATCCCAAAAACAACGTTGAGCAAAAGGAGCTGCTGTAAGCCACACATTCTGAGGTCAGTGTGCATAATCCGTGACACACTGTGAAGCCTGACCGTGAGGACCACTTTTGCAGTGTCTCTTCAATGGGTCCTGTTCAGCGCCTTGTAAAAGAATCTCTTTTCACTCCTAAAGCTTGCAGTCACTGCATGTGCTGTTAACGAATACTGTAATTCAATACATGGACTAATGTGGTAATGAATTCACTATGCAGCTAAAGAGCTCTTCTGAAACATTTCATCTGGCTACTGTGCTGCCAGACATTTGACTACTGAATTCGGTTTTAAAATTGTTATTTGATCATTTAAAATATAAGTAAAATCACTGTAATTTCAAGTACTGTAAATCAGCACACTATTGTAAGTTGTTAATTATTTTTTGTATTCTTCATTATCATAATTAATTTCAGGTTTAAAAATGTGTTATTACACATTGAATATTACGCAGTGAATTTGAAAGGTTTAATTCTTTTGAAAATCATGAGGAAATGTCCTATCATTTTTTAACAGTGCTTTTTTCTTTCATACTGTAAAATAGGAATGCCTTAATCTATTCATAAGATAAGCATGCTGGAATAACTGCAGTGACTCTACATACTGTATATCTGTATATGGCCAGAAATGCTGACCTGCTGTTACAAGCTTGATCTTTTTAAGTGGCATTACAGCATATGTTTGGCTGATCATTACATCTAACGTGTCTGCCTTTGTACACTTTGTAATATTTTACTCTGATCCTAAACACCATTGTGGACTTTGGAATTCACAAGAGTATTGATTGTTTGTAAACCTGCTTAGTTCAACTTACAAAAAGAAAAACATTCATATTTTCTTGCTACATTTGAAAAAAACAAATACCAATAGGTGACTTCACAATCTGTTTTAAATAGGTTGTCATTACCATTTTATACCCTTGTACACCAAAACTATTCCATATTGCAGTATTGTTTGATGTTGTGTAAAGAATTGCTTGTCATTATACATTTTTTAACACAGAGCCTATTAGAACACTATGTTCAGATCTTGATTGCTATACATGATAACATAGTCCAGGGACTCCCACCCTGCTCTTAGAGATCTACAATTCAGCAGATTTTCTGTCTCCCTAAAATCATCCATTTCTCAAGACTTAACTCAACCAAAAGGATAATGTAACAGCTGTGGGTGCAGCAGGTACTCTACAGCTATCGGGGTATTTTACAGTTTAGCTGTATATTTTATTGTCTGCCATGTAAATCTATTATTTCAGGCTATATTTCTTCACATTCCTCAAATGGACCATTCAATTTGCTGTCATGGTGTTGTAGCAGAGCTAATGTGGTGACGTCAGCGCCCTCACTGCGCGTAGCAGGGTCCTCAGCTGCCTGGGCTGAGGGAGGTCTTCTTTAGCTCACGCGGCTGGTGCCCTGTTGCGTTACGCCGGAGACCGGGGTTCACGCCCCAGGTGTGCGGGACGGAACGGAACGGGTGGCAGGGGGCACGACACTGCGCGGAAGCGCGATGATCACAGTGTGGCTATACAGTATGGTGTGTGCGCAGGAATAGCTATCATGTCACTTGGAAGTACAAAATGAAAAGGCAAAAATGTCAGTGCAGATCAACGTTAAAACTGAGATCAAAGAAAAGTGCAGGCCTCAGCGAATGGTAGCAAAGTTTAATTGTGTTTGTTTTCCAGCAAGATGTGAGCTATTTAGAAGGTTCTAAAACAATGTGAATTGTTTTGAGGTATTTTACTAGGTGGACACACCAGGATTACCCAGGTGGATATATCTAGATCACTCAGGTGGATATGTCAGGATCACACAGGTAAAGATACCAGGATCACATACAGTAGTTCAGTTCAAGTAAAATACTTTATTGCCAAAACAACTAGTTGCATGCATGGAATTTGGTTTGCTGAGTTCATACACTTAAAAGACATACAATACAAATAAACAACATAAGGCCCATAATGTACAGCACCCACCCATCACATTTTCACATACTGTAACATCCTGAGCACACACCAGAAGGAAAATAAATAACAGTGAGAGACAATTAAAGTTCAGAGTTTATGCATCTCACATCCTCTGAATAGGTGCTGTTATGGATAGTCCTTGTCTTGATAGACCTAAGTCGCATACCAGAGAGGAGAAAACTAAACAGAGGTTGGCAGGATGGGAAACGTTTCAAAGGATAAGGTTTTGAGTCTTGATTAAAAAAGGTGCTCAGGGAAGGAGACTCTCTGATATGCTCAAGAATAGAACTGCAGAGCAGGAGAAGGCTCCGTTACCCATGATATTGTACAGTATGTAAACAGGTTTAACAGACAGACAAGAAACTAGAATTAAATGAATGAAGGTTACAAGAGGGGTAGTAGAATGTTAGTAAGTCAGACCCTTACCGAGGTGCAAAACAAAGTAGAGCTTTATAGGCGAGCACGAAGATTTTGAAGTTGACATGAAACCTGATAGGAAGCCAGTGCAAGGACTCCAGGATAGGAGTATTGAAATCATTTGCACAAGACCTAGTCATGATTCTGGCTGATGAATTCTAGATATACTGAAGTTTGTTCAATGCCGATTTAGCTTTCTCAGCAAGCAGGGAGCTACAGTAATAAATTGGAGAAAAGACAAAAAAGTTGACTGGCGTTTCACGACAGTTAGCGATAACAGTTATGTTTCTAAGATGGACAAATGTCGGAAATGCCGGGATCACAAAGGTGCATATATCAGAATCTCTCAGGTGTATATACCAGAATCTCTCAGGCAGATATACTGTACCTGGATCACAAAGGTGTATATACCAGAATCTCTCAGGTGTATATACCAGGATCACACAGGTGGGTATACCAGGATCACACAGGTGGATATACCAGAATCTCTCAGGTGGATATGACAGGATCACACAGGTGGATATCCCAGAATCTCTCAGGTGGATATGACAGGATCACACAGGCGTATGTACCAGGATCACACAGGTGTATATACCAGGATCACTCAGATGGATGTGCTAGGACCACATACAGTTGTTTGCTATATCAGGGTCACTCAGGGGAATAGGACAGGATCACACAGGTGGATATACAGTACCAGGATCACTCAGGTGGCTCACTCAATGTAGTTCTTTTTCATTTAGTGTTTGTCAAAACATTTTTAACTTTTTTCCCTTGCTTTTGGAATTCACTGTAAAGCTGTTCAGTTTTTTCTTTTAATGCTCTTTACACAGTTTGACAGACAATTGCAACAAATTAACATGATTAATTCAGTGAATTTGACTAGTTTTCTTTCTTTAATGTATGTCAATGACAATGGGAAAAGTGTTGATTGTTTCATTAAACTGGTGGAGCTGTCCAAGGGCAGTGCTGAAGCATTTTTTGATTTCTTAATGCATTCACTCTGCAAATTTTGGCTTAGCACTGACAACATACAGTTCAAGGCCAAGATTGATAGAGATTGGTCATTATCTGGTCACCTATCAAGTCTACAGAAAAGAAACGTGCAGTTCCAAGGCTATTTTACATTGATGAGAAAACAATATAAAAGTGATTCGACCTGATGCTGCTTTCTCATCCACTTCTGTAAAACCACATTTTGGTACCCCTTTACAGCTTTGAA